GGCTGGCTGGGGAATTCTGGGAGTTGAAGTTCACTCATCTTAAAGTGGCTAAGTTTGGACAACACTGAGCTAACTAGACAGCCCTAACCCCATTGACCCACAGAGCCAGCATCTCCTTTGAACCATCCGGCCTCTGCCTCCCCACAGGGCACCTTCAAGATGGTTTTCCTCATTCGTCCCTCTAACTCTGATCCCATGATGGTTTTGCACTAACTGGGACATGTGAGGGCCCAAGGTGCAAGATTACAGGGCACGAGTCTCTGTGTTCCCCCTTCATTTCAGAAAAGCTTCTGCTGGCAAATTTCTTCCGGGAACAAATGCAGTTCCATGTATTTAACAGCCATTTTGTTACGAAGATGGTCCTCTTGTCATGTTAAGATAATCTAGCACAGCCTCTTTAAAAACACGGTTCTAAAAACCTGCACCGCTCATCTTGGACTGCACACACTCACACACACACACCTGACTAGTGTCGGCTCGGCTCACCTGTTGAGGAGGGCCGGTCTTCCCACGACCACGCGGGGGTCTGCCGGTGATAGTCTCCTTCCGAATGCACCGAGGAGACCGAGGAAGGCCGCTCTGTTCCCAGGTAGCCTTGACCAGGAATTGGGGACTTGGACTTCCTGCTGCCAGATTTGCCCATCAGCTTCTGCTTGCTGACTCCCCCACCTAGGAAAGGAGGAGGAATTGAGCTATGGGGAACAGCAGCAGCACTGATCTACGGAATTCACTGCCTTGGGACAGGGTGATGGCCATGAACTTGGATTTCTTGGGGGGGGGGGATTGGTGCATTTGTGGAGGACAGGTCTATCAAGGACTATCTGCCTCGAAGACTCAGTGCTGCCTCCAGTTTGGAGAATATGTTAGCCTCCAAATACCGTTTGCAGGAGAACAGTGGGGGCAGAGCATCTCCTGCTTCTGGGCACCCCAGAGGCCTCTGCTTGGCTCCTGGGAGAAACAGAGGCTGGGTTTACATGAGCCTGGCCTTGATCCTGTGAGGCTGCTCCTAGATCTTCGCTGGGCTTTTGTTCTAGGTGTTCAGATGGTCTGGTTCTTGGCAAAGGAGGGAACAAAGGCCTCAGGTCATTCGAGAGTCTGAAAACTTGGGAGTCCAGGAAGATGGGCTTTCAGAGTCCCTCAAATGCAGGTTCTTCTTAGTGACTGAAACCAGACACAAGTTGACCCACCACAGAAACTCAGGGGAAGCCCTCTGGACCAAGTGCTATCTCCGTTGAAGGGCCCTCGAGGGAAAAACTGGGTATGCTAGAGAAAAAAATAGCTTCCATATTTGGCAAATATCCTCAACGAACAAAACAGGTTATGCTCCCTGCAGACAGAGCTGGTGTGCAATTGGGGGGTCCTCCTGGACTCGCAGCTCCCGCTTGAGGAGCAGGTGGCAGACGTGACTTGGAGGCCTTTGCACAAATCCATCGTGCTCCAGCTGTGTCCACTCCTGGATCGGGGGCTCTACTCCTGTCCCTCGTGCCCATCTGGACTGACGCAGTGCCCGCTACACGAGCCTGCTCTCCTGCAACCCACCCAACGCTGCAAGATTTAGCCCCAACCTCCAGGGAGGTCGTTACATCACCGTGTCTCCCTCCACCCCACCTCGGTGCCAATGGGCAAGATCAGGCTGGGACCCTTGTTTGAATCTAAGCCAGGGTTTTTCCAACTCGGCAACTTCAAGGTGGGTGGACTTCGACATGCTGGCTGGGGAATCCCGGGAGTTGAAGCCCATGCATCTTAAAGTTGCTGAGTTTGAAAAACGCCAGTCTAAGCCAGTGTGAAACATGAACAACAAACATCCAGCCAGATGGCTGTGCTTGGCGGGCTCTAATACCTGATATTACACGGTTACTGTCAGGTTGATAAGCTGAGCATCTTTTCAGCAGTTTATTATTTACTGTAACATTGTTGTGTCTGCTTAAATGTACTTTTTCTGCTGGTTATTATGACCCACGGTCAAACAAAACAATAATGGTCTTGTTCTTTCCTAGGGACTTCCTGGGCCACCATGTGCTTTAGCAGACCCACGTGGTTTGCTATTATCCTACATGGTAAGAAGATCCAAGCCATTTCTGGGTTCTTCTGCAACCAAAGAGGGAACCCTTTTTGGCTGCAATCTGCCTGCCCAGCGCGGGGGAATCTGTGTGTGTGTCGCGCAGGAGTGGCGGGGGGGGGGGGGAAAGGCACCTCCTTGTCTTCGGATTTCTGTTATCGACGCAGACCAGCTGAATTCGGGAGCCGCCAAGGCAAGAACTGGCAACAACCTACTCATCAGAAGCCATCCTGCACGTCTTTAAAGACTGCAATTTGACCCCCATGAAAACACAGCAGGAACGATAAGGCTGAACTCCTGGGGGATGGGTGAGAATGATGGGAGTTGTAGTCGGACACCTTGGAGGAACCCAGGTGGCGGGAGACTGATTTCAACACCACCTTTACCTCAAAAAGACCCACACCGGATTGAAACGCTCACCTGGATTGGGAGATGGACTGGCTTCCTCCCTCCGGGTTTCGCTGCTTGCTGGTAGCGAGGCGCTGGAGCCGCTGGGCACCAGCCCCATGGGCTGCGCCATGACCAGAGCATGGTCCTCCCCTTTGTCATCAAAACTGCCCATCAGGGCTTTGCGGATGATGTCCTCCAGACCCAGGTTGCTGGCGGGATCGGCCAAGGAAGGGCCTCTGGCACTCACTGCACCTGGAAGGAGGAGGGGAAAGATGAACCAAGGGGAAAGAGGGGCGTGGCGGCGGCGGAGGACTCGGGGAAACGCAGCAGCAGGACGGCTTTTCAGCCGAGGATGAAGGGGAACACGTCTACTGAGAAGCGCCAAGGCTTCTGCCAGATACCTCTGCAACAGTCGCGGAAAAAGTCCATCGGCCATGGAAGCAATGGGCATTATAGGAGCTATACGGTGGGATTCTATAATAATAATAATAATAATAATAATAATAATAATAATAATAATAATAATAATAATAAT